TGTGCTGCTGCTGCTGCTGCTGCTGCTCCCGCGGGTGATGTTGTTCGTTCTTTTGCGCATGCGCTGTCGTTGCCCTCCGCTCTTTCCACCCCCACCCACCCCCTTCTCTCTCTTTCTCTCTCTCTCTCTCTATTCAGTCCTTCTTTGCTGCAGTGCACCCACTTTTGCTGGTTGCGTGGATTGACGAAAGGGTACAAGCGCGAAGGAACAGCACTGCATAGCTGCATAGCCAGAGAGAAGGGAAGCGGGCAGGTGGGCGGGCGCGAGGAAAAAAGGGGGGAAAAAAAAAGCGTGGGTGTCGGTAACTCGACCTTGCTGACCGGGGGGACGTGAGTGACGCGTCTACCCCGAACACGCAAACGCACGCGCCCGCGCTTTACCTCTCCGTGCGGCTGCGGGAGCTGAGGAGGGGGAGGAGAGATAGATAGTTTGTAGCAGCCGCGACGTGGCGATGGCTTCAGCGGCGGGTACCCACTTTATTCTCGATTTCTCCTTTGAAATCCTTCAGCGCATGCTGGACGAGGAGAGTCTTCTTCTGGGACAGCTGGCCTACGTTGTGGGAGACTTGCACGACCCGATTCTCGACGGCTGTGGTCGAATGAGTGCGTCGGCGCGACCACAGCTTGCCCCTGACAGCCACAGGAACAATAACAACAACAACAACGGGGGTGGTAGCAGCGGCGGCAGGTCGAAGTCGGTTACTATTTTAAGTTTTGCACAGTATTGGGATTTATTTGCCAACATTGCAACCCTGTACGGGGCACAGCGCACCATCGTAGGCAAGTTTGAGAAGGCCGTTAGCTGCAGAACCCACATTCTTGAGCCGCATCAGGTGTGGCTGCAGTCCGACCAGAATGCCGCGAGAGGCACTCCCGTGGGCTTCTCATCCGATAGCAGAGTTGACGAGGAGGTGTGGGGGGCGCACTGCATTCCCGAGGCATTCTGCTCCGCAGCTATGCGGCATTTTATGGCAGAGCACATGATGTACAGCCTACACTACACCCGTAACATTGCCCCGCGTGTGATGGAACTGTGGCGGCTGTGGCGGTGTCGCTTCGACAAGCAGAACAGTGCCCAACTCAGTGCGGAGGAACGCAAGCAGTTGGAGAGTCACATGCGTTTCTTGCGTTTTTTGTGGGATGCCTTTGGCAACGAGGCCGGTGTGCCGAGCGACCCACGCGTGGTGTGTACCCGGCTTCCTGAAACACCTCCTGCGAGTTTATCCCGGCGAGGCGGTGCAACCATCACTAGCAGAAGCGGCAGCTACAGCAAGCCCCCCGCGACCTCCTCGATCTTGCATGAGGCTCCGCCGATCCCGCCAGACTGGCGCGGATTTGAAACTTTGCTCGTCCTTCTTGCCACCCCTCTGTCCTCGCTTCGTCGCTACATGCACGTTGCCCGCTGCATCATCGAGTCCCAGTGCCTTTCTGCTTCCGTGCATCAGCGGCTGCAGACGGAGTTTATTGATGTGGTGGCGCCGCGTGTAGCCGAGGAGCAAAGTCTCGTGTTTGACGAGGTGGCGAGGGAGGATGTCGCCCACATTGTGGAGCTTATTGACGAAGTGGCAGCCGCCACCCCGTCCGGGGTGGGCACAGCGAAGACCCCCCGCATTCGCCCGGATAGGGACGGCAGCCGCACGCTCGTGCACTACGGCCGTCTCGTCAAGCTATTTCGTCGCGGCTGCCATGAACGTCTCGTGTTTCTCTTTAGTGACTGGTTCTGCTACGTAGAGGAGCAGACGAACGGTCGATTGCGGCTGTGTGCCTCCATCCCGCTTGAGGCACTGCGGGTCGTCGATCTTGACGACACTGCCAATGATGTGAACGGGTTCGATATTGTGACGAAGGAGCGGCGTCTCTCGTTCTTTGCGCCGACGCTAGAGCAGAAGCAGCAGTGGGTGAGCGCTCTCCGAATCACCAGTGAGGCGTACAACGTGAAGCTACGGCTACTGGAGGCCTCGCAGCGTCATGACGGCTTCGGGCGACACCAGCGACAACACGCTGCAGGGGGCGTCGCTCTTCACACGCGCGCAACGGCCCCGCCCTTATCGCACAACTCCCGTCTGCGCCGGGACCAGCGAGCAGATCGTGCCCTGCAGCGGCACCCCACAGCTGAGCTCGCCACCACCGCCAAGTATTCTGCGGTGGAATCTTCCGCCGACGCACCGGTGGTGGGGAGTGACGTGGCGAGGAACCCGTGGGCAGATTTGGCGCGGTCGCAGCGCAACAGCTTTGATGTCACACACTGGGCGCAGCAGTCGACCGACACAGTCCACAGGCGTGTTCGTAGCTCCAACCTTCTGCCTTCCTCCTGGCTGCTGGCCTCCCCACACGAGGCGAGCTCCGGCGAGGCGGAGGCCGTGGCGTTGGGCGCGGACCCCAGTAGTGGCAAAACTATGAATACATCCGCTGCTGACGCCGACGCCGCTGCTATCATTGCTACCACTATTACTCTTTCTGCTTCGTCTGCGTCTGCCCGCATGACGGAAGGTGCCGCCACTGTGGCACCGCCCATGGTGTCGGTGCCACTCTTGATCTCGGAACGCTTCCAGGAGGGGAGCTTGTCCTTCTCGTTTAGTGCTGAAAAGTCCAATTCATCCTTTACGGGAAACCTCTCAAGGAACGAGGGAAGAGAGGGAGCAGAGTCGGTGCGTTCGACCTTGCTGTCTGTTATTGCTGCGACCAAGGGCCAGAGAACAGGTTTTACCAGCGAAGACGAGGTGGTGCTGGACTTCAATGACTGAGCGCCCACCGTTTTTGTGGTAGGCTGAGACGCCAAAGGTCCGGTGCAGGTGCAGGTGCGGCTTGTCGCGCTCCTACAGCCCGTCAGCATAGGACGCGGGAAGTGGCATTGGCGCCAATAGTAACGGCCATGGTGGCCACTCCGAAGAGGAAGCGGCGCAGAAGCCGCAGTGAACTTTGAAAACACGAGCAACGGCACCGGCGCGGCGCACGCATAGAGTGAGGCATTGTGTCTGTGAGTCGAGGCCTCTGTGTGGGAGGAGGGGGGGGGGGAGGTATCCACAAACTTCTTCGCCCGTCATGTGTTTCACGTATTATAGTGCTTGCGGTCAGGTGAGATGGGGATTTGATGCGGTGAAAAAAAAAAAAAAGCAGTGCCCCATTCTTCTACCAGGAGCCCATTCTATCTATATACATATTTCTTACTGATTCTACATAAAACTGATCTTGTGGTTTTCTGTTGTTGTGGCTTGTTTGTTTTTCCCATTTTGGTTTCCCTTTTTTGCTGTTGCTGCTGCTGGTGGTGGTGTATGGGCTGGAAGGGTCTTGAACTTTGGAAATTGTTTTTCTGCTTGCATCTCCTTTTTTTTTCTTGTCGTTGCCCCCCCCCCCCCCACCCCCCCACCCCTCCCAACCCCACCCCCTCCCTGCAGCAACGTGGGCCGTATTTTTTCTTCTCCACGCTGCGTCACCTTCCTGCAGGAGCGAGAGGCGGAGACATTGCCAGCGTTACCCGAAGGTGTAGGCAAAGTCCCCACAAGGGTGGGGACCGTCTTCCCTTTTGTGCGTGGGTGTAGGTGTGCGATTGTTTTTCCACGTCTTGTTTGTGGGGCGTGTCTCTGTGCAGCATGACGCCCGAGGCAGTTTTGGCAGGTGTAACGCTGCTCATCATGGCAGTGGCCGTCTTTATTTATATCATCATCATGGGGCCCTCGCGCTACCATCGCGACGGCGTGGTTGGACGCCTGTACCTGCGCCTGATGGACTGCCCGACAGTCTGCTGCGGCTGTTTCTGCAGCATCTTTTTCGGCTGCAGCTACAGGCGCGGGCGACAGAAGTGGACGCGCTGCGTCGACCATACGTTGCGGGAGCGGAACTGGTTTATGGTAGTCTTCTACATTCTGCTGGTGTGGTCCGTGGAGTTTATCTACCTATTCGTGGTCCTTCCAGAGCTGCAGGCAGCGCTGTGGTCAAAAATTGTGTCCTGCGGCCTTGTGATGTTCTCCGAGGGCTCGTACGTCTTGGCCGTGTTTAGCGACCCCGGCATCGTCACCTCACGCGAGGCGGCGGCGGTGCAACGAAACGCCTTTGCGGCGCATGCAAGGACCACAGAGAAAAGGCGGCAAAAACAGCAGGGTGGGGGAGGTGCCACCTGCGTCGGTGGCGAGACCAGTAAGCAGCATGGCGCGAACAAAAATAGTGTGGGTGTTGCGTGGAACCAGGCGCAGTTCTGGCGGAGGCGGGAAGAGGCCGAGGCGCTGCAGAACAGTAAGTACGTCCTGGACGGTATTCTCTACTCTGTGGACGGTAGAAGTGTAGCGGGGAACACTGCCGGCGGACCCTCGCCGAGGGCGGTCACAGCGACGACGACATTTTTCACCGGAATGGAGTGCACCACGTGCCACGTGCCCCGCCCCAGTCGTAGCAAACACTGCCGGTTGTGTAACTTCTGCGTGCGCCGCTACGACCACCATTGTCCGTGGATTAACAACGACGTCGCCGAGGGGACGCATCGCTGGTTTTTACTTTTTATTATGTGCCATGCGGTTTCTTGTTTTTGGGGCGCTTGGGACCTGTACAGCATCATGAAGGCATTTTTGATTCAAAACAACGCGTGGGGGTGGACCCTACGCCTCTACGACGGCCGCCAGTACCCGCTGCGCCTGGACCACTACCTGGCCATCCTTGCGACGCACCAAACTCTCACCGTCTGCCTTTTTTTGTTTTCCGTGCTAATTGGGCTTCTGCTGTGGGTGTTTTGGTGCTATCAGATGTCTTTTGTCTTTGCCAACCTTACGCTGAACGACATGGGGAAGATTGACGACGCCGTTGAGTGTATCGTCTCGCTGCCGTCGCTGGATGCAGTGTACAAAATGGCGCTAGACGTGCGGCATCGTCTGGAGATTGTGGCGGCGCGGCCCCCCCGCAAACTGCGGCAACTTGAGGGGCCCCCGCCGGGTGTTGTGCTGGGGAGCCGTGGCGATAGGTCGTACAGGAAGCGGGTGCGAACGATGCTGTACAGTGACCTCAAGGGCCTCTTTGACCGTGGGCTGTGGGGCAACGTGATGGAGGTGTTTTTCCCCTACAGCGCTGCGGGCTGCCCCCCGCGACGGAGGACGGACAGGCGGTGAAGCGTGAGTAGAGGTGGGTGGTATGGGGAGGAAGAGACGATGAAACGAGGGAGCAGAGGGAGGAGCGTTAAGGCAGGAAGTAAACAGGCAAAATATATATATATATATAACAACGCGACGTTGCGTGTGCGACACTCTGCTAACGGGAAGTAAATGGGGCGTGGATGCAAAGGAGAAGACTGTTGGAGGAAGAGGAATTAACGAGTGTGAGAAAATTATACTGTAATATATATATATATATATATATATATATGGTGCCTCACTTCTGTCAGTTGTTAATGTGAAATGTGTGTGTATAGGGGAAGTCGCCGGTGGGCACGCCGCATATTGATGTCTTCTCGCTATGCTTGACTCACAGGATCGACAGCGCGGCTGCTCTAACTGCTTTCCCATTGGTACACAGACACGGGCCACCTCATCCCATCTTGCATATGTATTTATATATAATACATTCATGTATATTGATGTATAATATTTTTTTCCTCTTTATTGCTTTTTCTGTGTTGCTTCTCTGTTTCCCATCACTTGATACACTTGATGGGTTCGTGTGTGTGTGTGTGTGTGTGTCGTTATGCTGTGTACGTGGAATACAAGGGGTGGACTTCAAAGAGGGAACTTCACCCGAATGGAGACCGTGGGGCTAGCAGAAGAAGCCACCGTGGAGCCGGATGAACCACCCAATGCCCCTACGCCAAGTACGAGGGGTTTTGCCGGTTTGGCGTGTTCTGACAATTGTGCCACTTTCGTTTCTATATCTGATACATATTGCACCAGTTCCCAGCAGCGTGCGACACTGCGTTTCATGACGTTTTTGGACTTTGTAATGCCCGTCGAATTTTTTATGGACCCTTACGTTACAGTGCCTTTTCTTGCGGTGCTTCCGCCACAGCGTGAAAGTGCTGCGTGTGGAGCAAGTCATAGTGTGGCAGGTTCTACCGCTAGGGATGTAGTAAACTCTGCGGAGGCAGCGGGTTTTTCCTTTGGGGTGCCTCCAGAGCGGTTTATCACATGGCATGAGATGTGGAAGACCCTTGTGCTGTGCGGGGTCAAGCGACACCACTGCCAGGACGCGCTGCGAAAGCTGTGGGTGTACCTTCTCCTCCTGTGCTACGGCGGGGCAGCGGGGCGTAACCCGTGCGAGAGGTGGAGGACCTCGCAACTGCCCGGCACGAGCACCGGCTACAACGGCGACGTCGTAGGCGACTTCGCTGTGCTGGTTCGGTATGATGCGTTGGACGACTTCCTGCGCTCTATCCGCTGTCGTGGCGTCATTGACAGGAGCAAAACCGTCCACTTTGCCGAGTTTGCCGCAGCGGTCGCCTCTCCGCCAGGGACGCAGGCGCCTGCACCGCCCGCCAGGTACACGCTTGTGGTCACCAGGCACACCTTCGACCGCTGTATAGCCGGGGTGCTGAGCCGTGAACTCCGCGGGCAACGCCTCACGGTGACGCCACTGCCGCGCTGGAGCGTGGCGCAGGCCATTGTGCAGAATCGCAGGCCACTTGTGGTGTTCTGTGGTGGAACCAGCGGTTGTGGCAAAAGCACGCTTTCTAGCCTTATTACCACGCATCTTTGCCTTCACACGCTGCTCTCCACGGACACAATTCGTCAGTCGCTTCGACGTACGCTGCGACCTGAGAAGTACCCGGAGCTGTTGGTGTCCACCTACGAGGCTCACAGGGCCAAAGGCGGCGGTGGCACTCCCATAGGGACGGGGGCGAGAAGCGAAGAAAAGGAGGTGGACCCGCAGCTTCTTATTGCTGCGTACGAAAAGCAATGTGAGGTGGTGCTTCAGGCTCTGGACGGCTTACTTGAAAAATTCATTGGCCGCAGTCAGGCGGTGGTAGTAGAGGGCGTCCACCTGCTGGCGACGTACATGCAGCGCAAGTCGGTGGAGCTGCGGGCACGTGGTGTGTTGTGTGTGCCGTTCATTGTCTGCATCGCAAAGGAGCAGCAGCACGTGGAGCGGTTTTGCACCCGCGCTAAATGCATGGCGCTCTCCCCAGATCGCAATAAGTATGTCTCGCAGTTTCGCCACATCCGTCTCATCCAGCAACATCTGCTTGAACAGGCGTATGCGCTCAACATGCGCGTTATAAACAACACCAACCTTGATCGGTCGCTGATGGAGGTTCACACGTACCTGCTGGATAGTATCGACCATGGCATGACCACCGCCGTGTGGGATGGACACCGGTCGGTCGCTGTGGACAGAAGCGATGCCACGAAGTCTGCCACCGCGTCTTCGGCAGACACACATGCGAGGGCACCGCTAGAGGAGGCGGTTGTTGCGGAGAAGCCAAGAGGGAGCGGCAACGATGATCCTCAGCCTCACTACCACCACCCTTTTGCGGATCCGAACATCAACGGAAAACGCATGCTTGCCCTGCTGCTCAGGTGGCGCAGTGAAAAGACGAAGCGACGGGCAACCGATGCCGCCGCCGCCGCCGCCACCGGTGATGGTGCTGGTGGTGGTGGGATTCACCTTGCGACGTCATTGCTTGCGTTCGCCAAAAGGGCCCGATCCGCGGAGTCTCTCACCCCTTTTCGCCTGCAGGTGCTTTGCAGCTACTCATGTTTGGGCGACGCGAGTGACGGATTCCCCGCGCAGGGCCGAAGAAACGAGACGACAGGCTTTGACGTATGTGGCTCGAAGAGGGCTGTGTTTGCAGGGGCAGATGCGGGTGCCGAACGATTTCGTTGCCATGGCAGCTCACCCATGTCGTTGCGGCCAGCATTTTCACAGCCGCATTGCGGCTTCTTTCGGAAACGTCCAGAGGAAATCCACCATGCGGTGCCACGCAGAGGTCACCCGTTACGGAGACTCCCTGCAGCCGCATTCTCCACCCCCGCCCCGGTTGGCCGGGGCGGGAAGGTGTTTCGCTCTGCCAGCGCGGATGCTGCTGCTGAGGCCGTTGAAGACAACCGAGCACAGCCGCAAAGCGGTAACCTGGGGAGATCCCCTCCAGGTATGTCAATGCCAGGGTGCAAGTTGCGCGCCGCCACGAGGCATAACAAAAAAAGTGGGGCGGATACACGTGCAGTGAAGGAAAAGGAAGAAGAGCAAGAGGATGGGGGCTGGTGTGAGCTTCCATCTTTGATGGGAAGCTGAGGCGTAATAACAGTAATAACAGTTGCAGCTGCGTCGGTATGTAGGTCCTATGTTTATGCCCACTGAAGAATTGTGGTTAGGGATATGGCTGCATGTAGGTTCAAAAAAAAAAGGAGGAATGAGGAGCTACCCCCCTCCCTCCCTCCACCATGGAAGGAAGCGGTTACAAGGGCCGTCTCTAACCACTTACCTACGCGCATATATAAATGCTTTCGCCTCGCCGACGCGTATGCTGTTGCGTTTTTCTTCTAAAGATGGGAAGAGGTAGATGGTGAGGGTAGTGCGGTTTACTATCTGTTACTTTCTTGTTAGTGTCTCTTTGTTCTGTGGTCTGAGTAATTCCGTTGAGCGGGGAGAGTTAGCCCGCGATACACAGAGATTTCTTTTTTCCCCCCTTGTTGTTGTTGGTTTTTCCAAAAGGAGGGGTGGGGGAACGACAGCTGCGGTGAATGGAGATTCTGGTGCACTTGTAGCTTTGCATCGCTCTCACGGTGTGTCATCTTTCTGCTTGCTTCCTTTGGCTTTGTGAGTGTGTGCTGGGGAGAGGTATCAGTAGCGGTGGACGCAGATGGGGGAGGAGGCGGATGCAGTGGCGGTGGATACGGAGGTCCCTGCACCTCTGCAGAAGAAGCAACGGCAGAATAAGGAGTGGCAGCGCTTGGCAGATGCGCAAACGACACTCGTTCCCCCCCAATACCAGGAGCACAAGCAGTCTTATCATGCAAAGCAGCAGCAATGCGAAAAGGAGTTTGTGGCGCATAAGCGGCAGGTGTTGATGAATCTCTCCAGCAATGCGTGCGACCACAGTCCAAAGGGTGGCGTTGACCGCAAGTGCCTCCCCCTCATGCAGCTCTTGAACACCCATGAGGATTACGTGACGACGAGTAGCTGCTCGGGCCGCATCGCACTCTTCCATAGCGTCGCCATCGCGGAGAACTGTGGGGCTGCAGAGTCGGCGGCGGCAGTGAAGCGAGGCGATAAGGACGCACTGGGGTGGCTGTTGGTCAAACACGAGGCCCTCACGGAGCGCGAGGTCGAGTTCCTTGTGCACGCCCTATGTGACGGCGCTGAGGGCAGCGTTGTAGCAGATGCCGCGGGAGCCGCAGGCAGGCAGCACGAGGAGGGGCAACGCGAGGGTGAGTTGGATGGGGTTTGGGTGCGGGAAGGGGTGCTGCGGGCCTCTTCTCTCCCTGCCTTTGGCCTCGTCGCGCTGAAGATGGAGCCCTTCGTGATGCATGTCGCGTGCCGCACGATGGAGAGCGCGAAGTGGTTGTTGTCTGCCGCCGCAGCCGACGCCGGGTTCCGCAATAGTGGGGTGACGCCGCCTGGGAAAAAAATCATTTGTGGGATTCGCCACGCCGCTGGACTGGGGTTCGACGTCCCTCTCGTGATGGACGGCGTGAACTACGTGATGGGTCAGCACGCCTACGTGCGGCGTCTCTTGCAGATGGCAAACACGAAGATGCACAGCAACGACGTGAGGCTGCGCCGACTGGAAGCCGCGGTTGCCGCCCGCCTTGACAAGAGAGGGGCAACGGAGGGTTAGGAGGAGGAAGGGGTGAAATATTATGCGTAATAACAACGAAAAACGAAGAAAGTGCAGATATATACATACATATACACACGCATGCCTCTCTGTCTCTCTCTCTCTCTGTCGCTTCCTCCTCGTTTTCGCATCTCGCGCCGCGCCCATTGTCTCCTGTTCCTCCCGACTTAATTTGGCTGCACCGGGGTGTTTGTTTGTTTTTGTTTTTAAAAAAAAAATTGTGTAGAACGGAAGTAAAGGAAGAACGCGGGCCCGCCGACCGTGCGGCAAGTATGACCAACAGCAACGACAGCAGGAGCGGCGCGCCCTCGGAGGAGGCGATTGTGCAGCGCTATCAACAACTCCGGCAGGAGTGCCTTTCCCTCGTCTCACGGATTTCAGAGCTAGAGAACGAGCTGCACGAGCACAAGCTTGTGGTGGAGGCCCTACGGCCGCTAAACGGGGACCGCCGCTGTCACCGCCTCATCGGCGGCGCCCTCATCGAGCGCACCGTAGCCGAGGTTTTACCCGAACTCGACGGCAACGTCAACGGCATCCAGGAGGCGGTGGAGCAGCTCAACAAGATCCTTGCAGAGAAGCAGGCCGCGATGGAGGACTACGCCAGAAAGCACGGCGTGACGGTGGCGCAGCAGCATGGGCAGAACCCCGGCGGCGACCAGAGCGGGGAGGCCGCAAAGAAGCCAGAGGACGCAGCGCAACGCGGCGTGCTGGTGTGAGAAAGGCCCTGCTTACCGCCGCTGTGGCCTCCATTCTCTCCCCTTCTCCCACGTCATTCAGTTATCTATCTAGCTTAAGCCATGGGAAGAAGGGGGAGGCAGAGTGGTTGAAGAAAAAAAAAACAAAGAAACAGGAACATATTTATTATATTTTATGCTAACTTTTTCTGCCTGAGGAACGTATTTGTCTGGCAGCTGTTTCTTATTATTATTATTATTTATTTATTTTTTGAGCCGGCAACGAGAACCCAGGAAGCAAACTGCAATGCTGGCTGCTGTGTGCCTGTCGCGTTCTTACCGTCTTTTTTTCCCCCTCATGCTCTTTCTTTCAAATCCTCCTGGTTGCTGTGTGTGTGCGGGAGGGGGAGGGGGGGCGTGAGTCACACATGCAGCATAAGGATGCCGCCGCGGCACCCCCGATGGCTCTGATCCAGTGGTGGTTTGGCAAGACGGAGGAGGAGCGGCAGGGATTTTTGCAGAACCCGATGACGTCGGCGAGGGCGCGTGAGAACATCCCGCTGGTTGAGGCCTACGCGCGGCGGCACTGCTACTTCGTCGCCTGTGAAACAAACTTGGACGTTTGCCCGATGCCGTCCCTGTCGCCTGTGCTGCAAACAACATTGCAGCGGCGCGGGTACGGTGTATGGCTGCCGTGTGTGGCGCACGGCGAGGGAACGTACGGGGGTAGGTACGTCGCAGGAGCGCAGCGAGGGAGGCGATGTGCAGCGGCGCAGCACATCTTTGAGGATATATGTGCACGCACGGCGGTGGCATTGTGTGACTACAGCCTGCGTCCCGGTCCGATACCGACTTTGCCGCTGATGGAAGAAGAAAGATGTTGCGGTCGCGCGGCCCGCGTTATGGTTGAGGCTCTGGTGGAGGCCTCTGTAGCGGCGCGGGATGGGGCGAGTGGCTTGAGTGACGACGAGAGAGAGGGTGGCGGTGTTGCACCGAAGCCTGTTGGCGTGCGACGGGCGGAGGCGCACAGTTGCCTGGGTGTTTGGATGTTGTTGCTTCCACGCGCGGCCGGAGGGGAAGGTGCGGCGGCGTTGTCCACGCTGAGCGTGACGCAAGGCGGAAAACGCCCGCGAAATGCGGATACTAAGTGTGGTTTACAACCCACGTCGCAGCAGCAGCAGTTGCCGCACGACGCACGAGTGAATTGTTGGCAGCTCTTGCGAGAGTGTATAGCTCCCGCAGCAGCAGAAGAGTGGCAGCACGAGAGCAGCGCCGCGAAGGAGGGCGGGGGGGTGGCGGTGATGGTCCCTCACTCGGACCCACGCATCACGATTACGCTGGCGGACATGCGATTTGGCATAGCCAAGGCGTTGAAGAATCGTGTCAGA